CCCCCCCCCCCCCCGTTCACTCCTCTTCTAGCCCCCCACTGGTCACCTGTAGCTACCCGTCCCTAGCCCGTCTCCTAACATCTCCCTCTATCCACCTGCCCTGCCTCTCTACTCTGATGCCCATTCCTCCCCCTCCATGTGTCCACCCTTCTACTTCACCCCCACAATCTCCTGGCTCCTTCCCTTACCCCTGCACCTTCCTGGTGCCTCCCCCTTCCCTCACTGCCCTTGCCCTCTTTCTCCTTGGTGCCCACCCCTCACCATCCTTTGCCCCAGTTCTCCTCATGCCCCTCTGCACCCTCACACATGATTTGCTCTATCCCCTGCCTTCCTTGTGCCCACCCCTCCTTTTCAACTTGTCTTCTCCAGGCACCCACTCCTCCCCTCTCCTCTTCCTCCCTTTTGCCCCCATTGTCCCTCCTTTTTCCTCTCCCAGTATCACCCTATCCCTTCCCCTCTCCCAAGCCCACCAACACCTCCCTTCCACTCCCCCTCCTGTCTTTTTCCTCATTGTCTCCTCTTGCCCCCCTGGCATTTGTCTCTCCTCCACCCTGCCTCTTAGTGCCTGCCCCTTTCTTCTGCCCTGCCCGCTTTCTCTCAGCACAAGCCCCTTCCTCTCCTCACCCCCATCTCCCTCTTAGTTCTTCTCTTGCCCCCTTCCCTTGCCCCCTTCCCTCACCTTCTGCCTTCCACATGGAAAGCAGTTTGCGGGGCTGGAACCGGGCTGTGATGCTATTTTTATACTGTGGTCCAGCCCCCACAGCCCAGGACCCCATGCCGGGGTCCTAGTCCCGGTGAGCTGCCCAGCTCCAACTGGAGTCATGCAGCAGCCACACAAGGCCCATTTTGGTGAGGCTGCCTTGGCTGGAAAGTGCCTCTTGACACCAGCTGGAGCCAGGGCTACACGCGGGGGCCAAGACCATGGTACTAAAAATATCACCATGGGTGGCCTCCACTACAGTCCCGAGCGCACCCCATCCTGCAGTGTCCCTGCTGGGCTCCATGCAGCATTCTGAAGGAGGAAAAGGGGGTGCCACTGGACCAGGACCCCACACAGCAGAAGCAGTCTGGTGGGAGGGGAGAGGGAGGAGCTGCACGCCACCAGAAGCTGGTCTGGCTACCCTACACGCCATGCTAGGTGGAGGAGGCAGCTGCGCTGTGCAAAGAGCAATGACACCGTGACATTTCTTCTTTCTGCAAGCCAGTGTCCCTATCAAGTAGTGAAATGTCTGGCAGGGCTTTCTGGGACATTTCATTACTTGATGGGGCACCAGGACAGAGTTTTAAATTGGAAAAATCGGGATGTATGGTCAGCACAGGTATAGGTAGCAACATGCTACAATGAAAATTAAGCTGTGGTCCTACTGTAGTGTGTAGCTATACTTCAGAGAAAGCCTCTGGAAAAGAGAGGGCAGCAGGGAACTGCAGGAGACTTTCCTTGTAGTGGGGAAAGTTTCTAGCTGTGGGATACTATATTACTGAAAGTGTGTGTGGGGGGGGGGGGAGGTACTTCATGCAGGAGTAAAGAGCCCTATAAAGTGGGAAATCACAAGTGTCATTACTCCCTCAAAGGGTGCCTTACACTTCTGCTCTCCTAGCACAGGCATGAGTAACAGTGCAGACAGTATGTACTGTGCATGTCGCCTAAAGCAATTTGATAGTGGGATTGTACCCGCGATATGTATACTGCTGCTGACTTGAATTTAGCTTGTATGGATAACATACTACTACATCTACATCAGTGCTGGGTTTCAACACAAGCAGGTAATCCACTGGTGAACTGATAAAAAAGGAAGCAGGTAAACTAACCTAAATGAAACTATTTCTCCATATAAGAAGTGGTAAACAAAGTTGACTACATTACTGCAAGTAACCAGAGTAGAAGCCTGTGGGGAACCCTGAGTAATATGCAATTCTTAATGTTTTTCAAAAAATTATTTGGTGCTGTTTTAGAATTATTCAAAAGGAAAAGTGAGGAATTCAGGGTGTGTCTGAACTACATCCCTGTGCTGACAGATTAGGCACATTGCTATTGCATTTAAATCCCCCCCTTTTAATTTAAATAAAAAGGCCTGCCACTTTTTGCCGACTTGGCACTTTGCCTGCAAAAAGTGGCAGTCTAGTCGGGAATCGGTCGACAAGGAAAGCCTTTTTCAACCGATCCTGTAAACCTCATTGCACCCTCCTCCCCCTGTGGAGACCTGCATCACCAGCTTGCTCCTTCTCCCTCCTGGCCACACTCTGCACCCTTCCTTGCTCCTGCACCCTCCCTCCTGGCCAGATACCTTACTCCCAGTCC